CTGGTGATCAGGATGCTCACAGAATTGGTTGAATTTGGTCACAAATTAGATGAACAAATGAAGGCTACACTAGATGAAATAAAGGAAAATGTACAGGGAACCAATAGTGATGGGAAGGAAACTGGGACTCAAATCAATGGAGTGGACCAGAAGGAAGAAAGAAACAACCAAACAGAAAAGAATGAAGAAATAAGAATTCAGAAAAATGAGGAGAGGCTTAGGAACCTCCAGGACATCTTTAAATGTTCCAACATCTGAACTATTGGGGTACCAGAAGGAGAAGAGGAAGAGCAACAAGTGGAAAAGCTATTTGAACAAATAATAAAGGAGAGCTTCCCCAATCTGACAAAGGAAATAGACTTCCAGGAAGTCCAGGAAGCTGAGTCCCAAATAAGTTGGACCCAAGAAGGAACACACCAAGGCACATCCTAATTACATTAGCCAAGGTAAAAATGAAGGAGAGAATCTTCAAAGCAGCAAGAGAAAAGGAGACAGTTACCTACAAAGGAGTTCCCATCAGACTATCAGCTGATTTCTCAAAAGAGACCTTATAGGTGAGAAGGGGCTGGAAAGAAGTATTTCAAGTCATGAAAGGCAAGGGCCTACATCCAAGATTGCTCCCTCCAGCAAAGCTTTAATTTAGAATGGAAAGGCAGATAAAGTACTTCTGAGATAAGGTCAAGTTCAAGGAGTTCATCATCACCAAGCCCTTATTATATGAAATGCTAAAGGGACTTATCTAAGAAAAAGAAGATAAAAAACATGTACAGTAAAATGATAGCAAACTCATAATTATTAACAACCATACCTAAAACAAAACCAAAAACAAACTAAGCAAACAACTAGAACAGGAATAGAACCACAGAAATGGAGATCACATGGAGGGTTTGCAACAGGGAAGTAGGAGGAGGAGAGAGGGGTAAAGGTACAGAGAATAAGTAGTGTAGATGGTAGGTAGAAAATAGACAGGGGGAGGGCAAGAATAGTATGGGAAATGTAGCAGCTAAAGAACTTGTAAGTATGACACATGGACATGAACTAAAGGGGGGAATGTGGATGGGAGAGGGTGTGCAGGGTGGAGGGGAGTGAAGGGAAAATGGGACAACTGTAATAGCATAATCAATAAACTATATTAAAAAATTTTTTTAAAAAGTCATATCCAAGAAAGAATTGCCAAATCCAATGTCATGGAGCTTTACCTATGTTTTCTTCTAAGAGTTTTATAGTTTTAACTCTTACATTTATTATTTTTAAAAAATATATTTTATTGATTATGCTATTACAGTTGTCCCATTTTTTTCTCCCCTCTACTCCCCTTGGCCATGCACCTTCTCCCACCAGCATTCCTCTTCCCTTTAGTTCATGTCAATGGATCATACATATAAGTTCTTGACTTCTCCACTTCCTATACTATTCTTAACCTCTCCCTGTCTATTTTGTACCTAAAATTTATGCTTCTTATTCACTGTGCCTTTCCCTCCATTCTCATCCCTCCCCCTCCCTGCTGATAACCCTCCATGTTATCTCCATTTCTGTGATTCTTTTCCTGTTCTAGTTGTTTGCTTAGTTTGTTTTTGTTATTTTAAGGTTCAGTTGTGGGTTTGTTGTCATTTTACTGTTTATATTTTTGATACCTCCTTTTTCTTAGATAAGTCCCTTTAGCATTTCATATAATAAGGGCTTGGTGATGATGAACTCCTTGAACTTGACCTTATCTGGGAAGCACTTCATCTGCTCTTCCATTCTAAATTATAGTTTTGCAGGATAGAGTAATCTTGGATATAAGTCCTTGCCTTTCATGACTTCGAATACTTCTTTCCAGCCCTTTCTTGCCTGTAAGGTTTTTTTTTTCTTTTTTTTTTTGAGAAATCAGCTGATAGTCTGATGGGAACTCCTTTGTAGGTAACTGTCTCCTTTTCTCTTGCTGCTTTGAAGATTCTTTCCTTATCTTTAATCTTGGCTAATATAATTATGATGTGCCTTGGTGTGTGCTTCCTTGGGTCCAACTTCTTTGGGGCTCTCTGAGCTTTGGACTTCCTGGAAGTCTATTTCCTTTGTCAGATTGGGGATGTTCTCCTTCATTATTTTTTCAAACAAGTTTTCAATTTCTTGCTTTTCCTCTTTTCCTTCTGGCACCCCTATGATTTGGATGTTGGAACACTGAAAGTCCCGGAAGTTCCTAAGCCTCTCCTCATTTTTTTTGAATGCTTGTTTCTTCATTCTGTTCTGGTTGAATGTTTATTTCTTCCTTCTGCTCCAAACCGTTGATTTGAGTCCTTGTTTCCTTCTCATCACTGTTGATTCCCTGTACATTTCTCTTCATTTCACTTTGCATAGCCTTCACTTTTTCCTCTATTTTTGAGCATACTCAACCATTTTTGTGAACATCCTGATTATCAGTGTTTTGAAGTCTACCAGACTTCTGATAGGCTGGCTATCTCTTTGTTGCTTAGTTGTTTTTCTGGAGCTTTGATCTATTCTTTCATTTGGGCCATATTTCTTTGCCTTGGTGCACCTGTTATGTTGTAAGGGGTGGAGCTTTTGGTATTTGCCAGGATAGGGCAATATATGTTGCTTTGTTGTGGTGCTGTATGTGGGGGAGGGGTCAGAGAGGGAACAATATCCCTCGTTCAGCTCTCACTGCATTTTCCATTATTTTCCTTGTTTCCCATGAGCAGATTGTGCGCTTTCAGGTGCTGATTCCCAGGTGGGTGGGTTTGTGTATGTTCTAGGATCCTATTGGCCTCTCCAATGAATTCTCCTGTGAGACTGGGAGTTTCTCCCACTGTGGCAACCCCCACAGGTTTCTACAGCCAGAGGTTTTGAGGCTTTATTTCCCTGCACTGGAACCCTGGGTTGCGCCATTTGTCTCACTCCTCAGTTGTTCCTCCTGGCTTATCCGCACATGAATGTGCAGAATCCTGACTGCCACCTGCTGCCTTGCCACGTGTCCTCTCCGCCCTGGCTGCTCATCTCTGTCTCTCCTACCAGTCTTGACAAATGTTTCTCCTTTAATTCCTTGGCTGTTGGATTTCCATGCAGTTTGATTTTGTGGCAGTTGGTTGTTTTCTTTTTTAGATTGGTTGTTATTTTTCTTTTGGTTGTGTGAGGAAGCAAAGTGTATCTACCTATGCCTCCATCTTGGCTGGAAGTCCCTTAGCTCTTACATTTAGTTCTTCAATTATTTTGAGTTAATTTTTGTACATGGTGTAAGAAAAGGTCCAGCTTCATTCTTTTGCATGTGGATATTCCCAACACCACGTGTTAAAAAGGCTGTCCTTTCTCCATTAAATGGTTTTGGCACCCGTGTAGAAATCACTTGACCATATATGTAAGGGCTTATGTCTGTTCCATTCCATTGGTCTAAGTATCTGTCTTTATGTCAGGACCACATTGTTTTGATCATTACAGTTTTATAATAACTTTGAAGGTTTGAAATCAGGACAGTGTGATGCCTCCAACTTTATTTTTCTTTTTATATGATTGTTTCAGCTATTTGGTGATTCCTGGAGATTCTGTATGAGTTACAGAATATCTTTTTCTATTTCTGCAAAAAATGCCATGGGGACATTGATAGAGATTGCATTAAATTTATAGATTACTTCAGGTAGTGTTGACATCTTAATACTATTAAGTCTTCCAATCCATGTAAATGGGATATCTTTTCATTTATTTATGTCTCTTTAATTTCTTTTATCAACAGTTTGTAGTTTTGGGGCACAAGTCTTTCACATCCTTGTTTAAGTTTATTCCTCAGTATCATTTTTAATGCTATTGTAGATAGAATTGTTTTCTTAATTTCCCTTTTGGATTGTTCATTGTTATTGTACAGACATATAACTGATTTTCAGTGTTGATTTTGTATCCTGTAAGTTCACTAAATTCATTTATTAGTTCTAATAGGTTGTTGTTTTTTTTTTGGAGGGGGCTGTTGTTTTTTTTGGAGGGGGCATAATCTTTAAGGTCTTCTACATAAAAGAACATGTCATCTGCAAAAATAGATCACTTCACTTCTTCTTTTCAATTTGGATGCCTTTTCCCCCCCCCTTGTTTTTATTTCTCTTTATTGCTCTGGCTAGGACTTCTAACACAATGTTGAGTAGAAGTGGTAAAAGTGTGCATCCTTGCCTTGTCCTGCTCAAACACAGGAAAAGTTTTTGGTCTTTCACCACTGAGTATGATGTTGTCTGTGGGCTTTTCATATATGACCTTTATTATGTTAGGGTGGTTTTCTTTTATCCCTAGTTTGTTGAGGCACCAATTTTAAAGCCTTTTCCTTTTTCCTCTGTCCTCAATCCAGATGAGGCCAGCTTGTCACTTTCTTCCCTATGATAACTCTTCCTGCATTTTAGGGTGGGTGCCTGAAAGAAGGCAGCTCTGATTTTCCTTCTTCAGAGAATTTGCCCACAGTTCTCTTCCTCTTTCCATTAATTTGTCCACTTACAACATGAACCTTTGTTGAGGCTGCACCATGTACCAGGCATGGCCATGGTGCTTTCTTGTTCATGGGAGGTTTCATGTATGTAGTTTCAACCTTCACAGGAGCCAGCTGAAATAATGATTCCTGTGTCTGTATTCATAATCAGAGGTGCAGAGGGGCTTGCCCAAGCCAGAGCCAGCTCCTACGATTCCTTTGCCTTGATATATTAACCCCTGCTATTTCTGTGTCCAGCCTTTAAGCCATGTTGTTGGTCCTGGACAAATGCCTCCTGTGCCATCTGAGCTGGCTGTGATCTAAGTGGAAAGGGCCCAGGTCCAGTTCTGAAGTTTGTTTGTTTGTTTGTTTGACAGAGGGGAAGGGAGGAAGAAAGAGAAGGAGAGAAACATCAACATGTGGTTGCCTCTCACATGCCCCCTACCGGGGACCTGGCCTGAAACCCAAGCATGTGCTCCTACTGGAAATCAAAATTGTGACCCTTTGGTTCCCAAGCTGGAATTCAATCTACCGAGCCACAACAGCCAGGGCCAATTCTGAAGTTTTTCTCTCCTTATGTTCACAGAAGTCCTGGGACTACGTCAAGAAGTGCAAAAACAACATGTGTCCAAATCGGGCCTTGGTGGCTCAGCTGTCAAAGTGGGAGGAGATCGTTCTCGGAGGCTCTGTCACAGATATCTCAGATCCACTCTACTGATCTCTGTGGTCCAGCTGTAGGTCCTGAAGAACTTTGCTTGGGAGCTTCTTGTGGGTAGTGGGCCAGGATATATAACCAGACCGGTGTGGAAGAAGGCCTTTGCTAGCCTCCTGTCAGTCTCCTGCATTGTTTTTTCCCAGGCTCCTTGTTCATAGCAGGCGCTCAAACTCAGTGAGCGCCCTCATCCCTGCATCATCCTGGACCACTCCCACTGTAATCATGCAGCTGCCTCTGGAAGAACGCCTGGCCGCCAGAACAGCTGCCCCACATGCGCTCCACCCATGACTTGTACCCTTTGAAGGCTGCCTGGGGGGAGCTCCAGGGGTTCCTGTTGCCAGTGTTGGACCACAGGGAGTGCCACAATGCCCACCCATGGGCACAGATCCCCCAGTCCTAGAGTAACCAAGACTAGGCCCCAGGCCCCACAGCTGAGAGACTCCTGTTACAAAGGCATACATTTGCCTCATGCCCAGTTCCAGCATGCCCCACCACTCCAGGGGGTCATCAATTGTACAGATTTCTTCCTCTCATTTCTACCTGGCTGTGTTCACCAAGAAGATTCCTACCCATCCTATCTTCCATACCCAGGTTTCTATAAATTCCTCAGGTCTCAAAGGGAGTTTTCTTCAGAATGTGCCTTGAGCACTGCAGTCAGGAGAGAATACAGACAAGGGGACTGATGAAGAATTTAGGATGTCCATCAATTGTTCATTCAGAAATTACTATCTACCAGCTGGGCAGGGCTGGGGACATAGCATGAACACCATCTCATGTCTGTAGAGGGTTGGAGGTCACCCCTATCCCCAACGGAAGCCCAAGCCCTCAAGGAGTTGGGTAAGGGCTTTTCTGGCAACACAGGCTTTAGCCAGGCCTTTATTTTAGCTGGAACACAGCCTGGGATGACGGCAGAGCAATGCCTCTGTCATTAGAGACATCCTGGTAGGCAGGGCAGAGCCTTTGGAAAGTTTTCGGCAGGCACGTGGTGGGGATTAGCCTTGCATTTAGGAAGAGCATTTTGGTAACTGTGTGAAGGGGCAGTAGCGGTGAGCCTGGAGGCAGGGAAATAGTAAGGAGGACGCTGTCAAAATCCAAGTGAGATAAGAGATTCAGAATTTTCTCCCCGAGGAGACTCAGCGTCCCAAGAACAAAAGTGCTTGAGGTACGTGTTACTTCTCTGGACTTTGATTTACATCCAGGATGACGGGATAGGGCACTACTGGCTGCAGAACGAGGTTGGCACAATCAGTGGAGCCCAGCGAGGAGTAGCCACCACCCCAGCTCTAGTTCAGGACCCGAGTCGCTGGGCGAAGCTGCAATTTGTGCATTCGGCTCCGCCCAGGCCACGCCCCGGGCCCGGATTGGCTCACATAGGGGCGGGGCCAGCGAGTTCGCAGCTACAGGTTCCTTTTCCATTGGTCTGCGTTGCGGCGCGAGCCCGGAAGCGGGCGGGGGCGGGGGAGGCCGAGGCTCCTCGGCCCGAGAGGGTTGCTGCAGCGTCCTCTACCATCCGCTCTTCTGGCTCCCGGCCTGGCAGCCATGCCTCCCACGCCCCCGGGCCCGCTGGGCGACTGCCTGCGGGACTGGGAGGAACTGCAGCAGGACTTCCAGAGCATCCAGGTGAGCACCAATGCAGACACCCATTGGCCCGCGGCCATGTCTCTTTGACTCGGGGGTCAAGGGTCTGGCAGCTCTGTGTCAGGCAGCGGGGAGCAGAGTTCAGGGGTTGGGGTTCCTGGTGTTGTTCCCGCGGGCAGCGAGGACTCGGGTCCCTGTGTCCTGGCTGGACTCTCCTCTTGACCTCATATGAGTTGTCCGAAGGGGGCACTTCGCCCGCGCGGCTGATGCGAACCCGGTGGGACCCCATTGCGCCTGTCGTACCTATGGCCTCCCGCAAGGGCCTCAGAAAGAGGCTCTGACCCCAACCACGCTTTCTTCCAGTAGTGTGGCCGCTTGAGTCAGAGCTGGCCGGGCCCATTCTTGGGTCAGTCACTCAGCAAACATGCCATGGGCTCCGGCCCGGCGGGAGCCGCAAGTAGTGTCATCCCGCCCTTCGGGCAGCGAGATCTGGACTGAGTGCGCCTAGGGTGAGCCACAGGAGGCAGCTAGGTTTGGACCGGGGAAGTGGTGTTGAGGTGAAGTCCCCCGCCAGGAGGGGGGCGGGGCCGATCCAGAGTGAAGGACAGTGTCCACGAAGGCAGGTCCTTGTAGCTGCTGCAAAAAATGAGGGGATAAGTGGGTGGGGGACCTCATGGACCTGGCAGGGCTGGGAGTCTCTTTAAGACCAGTGGGAAGCCACTGGAGGAATTGGCTGGAGCTGGCTTGTATGGGCCGCAGTGTTGTTCCGTGAGGAGTCAAGGGAGGAAGAGGCTAGGCTACTGGCCTCCTTCCCACAGCAGAGGTGGGGGATGGGCTTGGGCAGAGGTGGAACTTGTTGGTTTCTAAGGGGGCGTGGTGCCCCTCCTTGGAGTGAGAAACAAGACCCAGGCAGAGTAGAGCTCAGGCAATCTGGACTTTTGATTAGGCCTTTGCTCCTCCTGGACCCGTTCCAGCCATTTCCTGCCGGTATTGAAGCCTACGTGCCCCCTGGCCAGTCAAACCTGCTGCCACTAGTGCTTCTACCCGGAGTCCTGAGCAGAGCAAACCCAGGCCCCCAGCCTGATCACCACTGTCCTGGTCTCAGCCCCTGCCTGGCCTTCCTTACATTTACCATTGCCCAATATCCAGGCTGCTGCTTCTCTAGACCCACCCACCAGATCAAAGTGCTCTAGGAAGCTTTGGGCCAAAGGTACTGGAGAGGGGTATGGACTGGCCTCATAGTAGAAGGTCCAAGGGCTGAAGCCCGATGACCTTTAACCTGGGAGGAAGATGCTGGGAGCGCCAGAGCAGAAGGCATCTCGGACACCCCAAGCTCCCCCTGCACATGTAGGATGGATGGGCAGGAGGATCCGAGAGGGCCAAGGGTGGCTTCAGGCAGCCTGGTTGGTCCAGAAGGTGGACCCATGGGCCTAGAATCAGGGTGGAATAGAGAGGGGTGGGAACAACTCGTAGATGGACTGAGACTAAAAAAAAAAAGAAAGCCTCAGGGAACTAGCCTGTTTCTGGGAGAAGGATCCCAGGGGGAGCGTCTGGGCTTGCTGGAAGAACTCCATTTCCTTGCCAGTCTTGGGGAGAGTGCAATCTTAGGGAGGTCCCTGGGCTGGCACAGCTGGCTGCCTCATTTTCTGCTGAGACCCTCCCAAGGAGCCCTAGAGGAGTCTGTGTCCCCCGCCATCCTCCCCAACCCCCAAACCCAGCAGACTCTGGCTCAGTGCCCTCCAAGCAGTCTGACCCTTCCCCTCAATCTGGTCCTCAGGAGACCCACCGGCTATACCGCCTGAAGCTGGAGGAGCTGACCAAGCTGCAGAACAATTGTACCAGCTCTATCACTCGGCAGAAGAAGCAGCTCCAGCAGCTGGCCTTCATCCTGAAGAAGTTAGGATGCCCCCTCCTCATGGCCTGCCATGTCCCCCCATGTCCCCTTGGCCTTGGTCTGGGGGGTGGGTGTCTGAGCTGGTGGGGCAGAGAGCTGGCACTGACTCTGGGAGTGTCCTTGGCACCGCTCTTCTCCTCTCTGGGCCACCCCGCAGGTGCCAGTGTGGTCCCCCGGCTCTGACTCCGGCTTCTGTGGCCCTACTTGCAGATGCAAACCCTCCCTCCCAGTGGAGGTCAAGGAAGCTGCAAAGGATCTGGAGAGCCAGATCAAGGAACGCCAAGGCCTCTTCTTCGATATGGAGGCCTATTTGCCCAAGAAGAATGGGTGAGACCCCTCTCTCAAATTCAGTTCACAGCCTTGCCTGGAAGAGAGGCCTGAAGTGCGCTCGTCGTCTGCTCAATCATTTGGTCAGCAGACGTTCCCTGGGCCCACTCTGGGCTGAGTAGTCAGGCACCATCCGGGGAGCATACTGTCTCAGGGGGGCAGGGAGACAGCTGGGTGGCAGTGACAGTTTACTGTGATCAGGTGCTTTGTGGTAGAACCACACAGGAAACAGGGAGTAAGGGAAGCTCTTAATCCAGCCCAGGAGGTCAGAGAACCCCCTGGAGTAGGTGAGGCCTGAGCAGGGAGTTATAAAGGATGGAGTAAGCCAGGCCAACTCAGGAATGCAGTAGCAGCAGGTATGCTGAGAGGTGAGAGGTTGAGAGGTCAGGATGGGATCACATGGGAGCCCAGTGGGCAGGGGAGTGTGACTGGTGAAGTAAGTATGCACTTCCACAGCCGAGGCAGATGGGCAGGTACAGTGCAGAGGCCTGGGCTGAACGACAACACCAAAAAAAATGCAGCAGAGATGGCAGGTAGCCAGACTGCTGGGAGAGAGCATGTCCCAGAAGGCAAGGGGAGTGGCTAGTGGCTTCAGAGCAGATGGCTGTGGGGGTCACATTCAGTAATGAAGGGGAAAGGGGAAATGCTTCCTGGAAGTCAGGGTGACTTTGGAGAGAACCACTTCATGGGACAGTGTGAGTGGAAGCTGATATTGGGAATGACAAGAGCTGAGGAGACAGCCAGGTTTAGGCCACACTTCAGAGGCTGTGAACAGAAAGAGAGGCTAGTACTACCGTGAGGACTGGTTGGGGGGCTTTTGCTTGTGTGTATGTGTAACTTTGAACACGGCACAGACTTGAGTGTATCTGCTTGCTGAGAGGTAGGGCCAGCAGAGAGGGGAGGCCCAGAAAAAGGGCACCAAGTGATGGAGAAAACCTCCTGGGAAGATGAAGAGGGCTGGGCATGGGCCCCTGTTGTTTGAGATGGGAGGGGGTGCAGAGATGAGGGTGCCACTGCAGGCAGGAGGGGTGTCAGGTGCCAGGAAGGAGACAGGATGGAGAGTCCAGGGAAGGGGTTTGTCAGGCCACTCCCAGGATGGGGCAGGGGGGCGGCGGTGGTGCTGAGAGGCAGCCGGAAGCCTGGTCCAAGCGCCGCTTTAGTCTCTCCACAGCCTTGGGCAAGTCCCTTAACCACTCTGAGCCCACCCATATGGTTTGAGTGTGAGCAACAGCCCATGTATGGGTGCAGCTGCTTAGTACACCACTGTGACTCTTTGGTCACCTCTTGAAGTCTCTCTGGCAGAAGACAAGACAAGCTTAGCTGGTGGGTGTGATAGCATTGCCAGGAGCTGGGAGTGACAGGTTGGCAAGAAGTGGTTGACATGTGAAGGAGACTTGGGGACTTGGCTGGCTCAGGAAAGAGTCGCAGGGTCAGCAGGGCCTGGGAACCTCTGTGGGGGGAGGGTCCATATGGTGAAACTGGCTGGGAGGCCGGGTTCTCAAGGGCCAGAAAACAACTGGCATTGCGAGAGGCTGCTCTGGGCTGGGGAGAGGTCCTGGTGTGGTTGGGGGTGTAGGTTGCTGCAGGGCACTTGGGGCTGCAGTTCTTGGAAGTATAGGGCACCTACTGTGGGGTAGGTAACAGATGGTGACTCTGCACCCAGACAGTGAGTCCGCTGCCCAGGCCCACAGGGGCAGTCTGAGATGTGGGCAAGGCTTCCGTGGGGTGGAAGGGCCAGGCTGCTCTTGAGGTCCTGAGGTAGGGGAGTGTGGGTAACAATGACAAAGGAAGGAAGGGATGTTGGTTTTCCTTGGAACAGGATTTAGGAGCAGGCAGGAGGAAAAGCTGGGCATCAGTGTTTCCTGTGGAGCTGGTCTGCAGCCTCCCAAGATCAGCCCTCAGCCAAGGCCATGGAAAGGCTGAGTGAGGGTGGTGACCGATGCTGGCCTGGCCCACTCTGGGGCTCTGCACCCTTGGCTTCCCTCTGGGTCTGGACCTCTTCTTACCCCGTCTCCCCTTTCCCTAGGTTGTACTTGAGCCTGGTTCTGGGCAACATCAACGTGACACTCCTGAGCAAGCAGGCTAAGTAATTGGTCATCGTGGGCTGGGTCTGTCCTTTCCACTCTGCCCCAGCTGTGCCTGAGCCTTGGGGACCAGGGGCTACTCCCCCGTGCCGGCCCCACACCACTCTTGAAGTGTGTCTGGAGCAGGCGCCTCCCTCCTCAGGGAGGAGGTGAGGGTGGGTCCCGCCAGCATCCCAGCCTGTCCCATGGGTGCGTGCCCTCCCCCAGGTTTGCCTACAAAGATGAGTATGAGAAGTTCAAGCTCTACCTCACCATCATCCTCATCCTCATCTCCTTCACCTGCCGCTTCCTCCTCAACTCCAGGTGGGTGTCCTGCTGCTCGGGGCCAGACCCTTGTTTTCTCCCAGCTCCACCAGCGCCAACCTTGTGCCCCCCCCCCCCCTGCAGGGTGACAGA